TGGGTAAAAAATTAGCTCAATTTTACTCGTTAAAGTATGTGGGCTGCGTGAATTTCACATGTAAAAAGAGGGCCCGCACTCACTCTACTTTCTTCTTTAAGCTCCTTTTTCCCCATTTCGCAAGGCGAGCAAAAGCACATCGGTTTCTGAGCCATTTCCTTCGCTGATTTCTCTGCTCATTGCTGCAGTATTGTGAATACGGAGTACCCTTTAATTTTTTTGTTTTCCTGTGTTCAGTGTCGGTTTCTTTTTGGGGGTTTTCATTTCAGGGGTCTTCTTTAATGGAAATTTCTGACATGGGTATTGGATTTTGATCCTCAAGGTTGGGAACTGAACTGGGTTTGTGGATTTTGTGAGAGTTTTTGAAGGGTTTATGGAGAAGGGACATCTTGATGTGGCTGGGAAAGTGGTGGTGGTCGCCATTAAAGCCACCTCCAAGGAAGTTTCTAAGACTGCTCTGGTTTGGGCTTTGACTCATGTTGTTCAGCCTGGAGATCATATTAAGCTCCTTGTGGTTATTCCTTCTCATCATTCAAGTAAGATTCCTTTGAAAATTCTTAGTTTTTTTGTAGATTTTGTTTGCCTGAGAAGGAAATTCTTAATGGATAAGTTTTCAGACACGTTTCGATTGCATTTATGATGTCCAGATGAGAATTCGTGAATTTCTGCTACATAAATGATTGTCTCAGCAATTATTTTGAGTGACTTTATGTCTGTAGGGAGCTAGATAATCCTTGATTCCTCACAATCAAACATTCAATAACATATTATTTCCTAAAACATGAGAATCTGTGGCTAAAATGGATGGAAATTTCGCATTATTTGAGAACATTTTCTTGAAATTTCCAGTGAAACTACTATCCCATTGATGATAATGTCAACTATTCATGTTCATTACTATGATGTCTGTTCTTTCTGTCTTTTAGTTGTTAATCTTTTCCCCTCTTGACTGTAATAGTTTTGATGGAAAATCTGACCGTTATAGGTAAATGGTTGCGGGGGTTTTCCCGATTTACGAGCGACTGCGCGATTGGTCATCTTAGAACACCATCAGAAACCCTTTCAGATCAGAAGGATGACATTGTGCATTCATGTTCTCAAATGGTTCATCAGCTTTATGGTGCTTATGAACCACTGAAGGTCTGTTCAATAACTTGTTTCCAAAGCGTTTTTTTGTTTAGTTCTTGCTCCTCGTCGTCTACGAATCCTCAAAGTTGTGGATTCTTGTTGCAGATAAAAGTCAGGATCAAAGCTCTTTCGGGTTTGGCTCGGGGTATCGTGGCTACTGAAGCTAAGAAAGTTCAATCAAACTGGGTGATATTGGACAAGTAATAGATATCATGTAAATTTTGTCTCTATTTTCGGCATCCATTCATATGAACTGTGTGCATTTTAGGCATTTTAGGCATATCGTTGTGTACTTTTAAAGTTTTTCTTTCCCTTTTGTTTGGTTCCCATTTGCTCATTCTTGATGTTTCATAATTATGGATAGGCATTTGAAAGATGAAAGGAAGAACTGTTTGGAAGAGCTGCAGTGTAATGTTGTTCTAATGAAGAAATCTCAGCCTAAGGTTCTTCGTTTGAATTTGATGGAATCCCCTAAAATCAATACTACTAGAGAAGCTTGGATATCATCACATGAATTAGATGTCTCTCAGAAGTGTCTGAAAAGCTATTTCGATGAATCGGCTGCATTTAGGGGGCCTGATATGACTCCTGTGAGTACCCCTGATGTCGAGTCACCCCTTACGATAACTGATGTTGGGACATCGTCGATATCAAGCTCGGATGTGGGCAGTTCATCTTTGTTCTCTGGATTTTGTGGCAGCTTGAGAAATGAATCCAGAACAGCAGCTGAAGGTGGGAGAAATTTATCTGGATCCGAATGTGATTCTGAGAACGAAAAGCAAACTCCATCCGTTTCATATTTCCAGCGCTGTATGGTTGATATTATAAGTTCGAGGCGTAAAATCCAGCAACACGCAATGGAAGAATCACAAAATGTTCATCATAGACCTCCAGCTTCAACACGTCAAGGTCTGGTCAAGAAAATGTCAACTCTTTCTCAAGATCCTAACACCGATGCGGTGAGTCGAAGTACTAATGTTAGCTCAAGCAGAAACATAAGGAACACGGTTTCGTTATCCAGAAAAGCACCTCTAGGCCCTCCTCCACTGTGTTCAATGTGTCAACACAAGGCCCCTGCATTTGGGAATCCTCCTAGATGGTTCACTTATGCAGAGCTTGAAGTTGCTACGAGCGGATTTGCACAAACGAATTTTTTGGCTGAGGGTGGATATGGGTCTGTGCACCGAGGCATCTTACCCGATGGACAAGTCGTTGCTGTCAAGCAATATAAACTGGCTAGTACCCAGGGGGATCAAGAATTTTGTTCAGAAGTCGAGGTCCTAAGCTGTGCTCAACATCGGAACGTCGTGATGCTCATTGGATTTTGCGTGGAGGGTGGAAGAAGGTTGCTTGTTTATGAATATATTTGCAATGGATCTCTTGATTCCCATCTTTATGGTAATGTCTTGTCTCAAAAAACCTTGTTGTTTTGTTGATGACATGTATCCATCTTTATTAACTGCCATGGTCAATCTTTGTAGGACGAAATCGGGATCCGTTGAAATGGTCTGCACGACAAAAGATCGCAGTCGGAGCTGCTCGAGGTTTGAGATACCTTCACGAAGAATGTCGGGTGGGCTGTATTGTGCACCGTGATATCCGCCCAAACAATATCCTCCTTACTCATGATTTCGAACCACTAGTGAGTCAAGCTCTCATCTTAATCCCCAGCTGTGCGTTTGATTAACTGCCATGAGTTATCCTACGGAAGGAAACCAAAGAAAATCCTATTTACTCTAAGATGCATTTACATTTTTGGATTAGCATAAGAATTTTTCTGTTTGAACGGTAACGGCCCAAGCCCACCGCTAGTAGATATTGTTCTCTTTGGGTTTTTCTCAAGGTTTTTAAAATACGTCTTCTAGGGAGAGGTTTCCACACCTATACAGAGAATGCTTTGTTGCTCTCTCCAACTGATATGAGATCTCACAATCTACCCCCTTTGAGGCCCAGCGTCCTTGCTGACACTCGTTCCCCTTTCCAATCGATGTGGGATCTCACAATCCTCCCCCCTTCGAGGCTCAACGTTCTCGCTGGCACTCGTTCCTCTCTCCAATCATTGTGGGATCTCACAATCCACCCCCCTTTGGGGCCAACGTCCTCGCTGGTACTTGTTCCTCTCTCCAATCGATGTGGAATCTCACAATCCTCCACTCTTTGGGGCCCAGCGTTCTCATTGACACTCGTTATTCTCTCCAATCAATGTGGGGTTTCACAATCCACTCTCCTTCGAGGGCCAACGTTCTCGCTGGCACACTTTCCCCACTCCAATCGATGTGGGGTTTCACAATCCACTCCCCTTTGGGGCCTAATGTTCTTGCTGGCACATCGCTCAATGTTTGGTTCTAATACCATTTGTAACCGTCCATGCCCATTGCTAACGGATATTGTCCTCTTTTGGACTTTCCCTTTCGGCTTTCCTCTCATAGTTTTTAAAACGTCTGTTAGGGAGAGGTTTGCATATCCTTATAAAGAATGTTTTGTTCCCCTCTTCAACTGATGTGGGATCTCATATGAACAACCTATATCTTTGACGTACGAGCGTCGTCTCTCAATCAAATAAAAATGCTTCTGAAGTGTGCTGTTTTCGGGTTTTTTTGGTTAATAATTCAAGTAAATAACATGCAACTTTGTTTTCGAGTTATAGGTCGGAGATTTTGGGCTGGCAAGGTGGCAGCCTGATGGGGATCTAGCAGTCGAAACCAGAATCCTGGGGAGATTTGGGTAACCATTTCAATTCTCTCAATCCTTCCATTCTCATTACACAAACTATATCAATCAGAAAAATAAAATTGCAAAAACTTTGCATGCTTAGCTACCTTGCTCCAGAGTACGCACAGAGTGGCCAAATCACAGAGAAAGCCGATACGTACTCATTCGGTGTAGTCTTGCTGGAACTCGTGACTGGACGTAAAGCGATTGATTTAAACCGTCCCAAGGGCCAGCAGTGCCTCACTGAATGGGTAAGTCTGTCTCATAAGCAGCAAAGTTAGTTGTGTTTCATTCTCAAAATACCATTCCTGTTTTCTCATTTGAATTCATGAGTTGTTTCATGTTCGAATCAGGCACGAAAGCTATTGCGAAAAAACGCAATCTCTGAACTAGTCGATCCATGCTTGATGAACTGTTATTCGGACGAGGAAGTTCACCACATGCTGCGATGCGCTTCCTTGTGCATCAAACACGACCCGTACATAAGACCGCGTATGTCTCAGGTAAAATTCAAGCGATCGCCAACTTTCATCCGAGAAGCACAACCAAAACACACACACACACACACACACAGACACGATCATTCATCCAAGGCATTCTCAAAGTGTTTATACTACCACCCTTTAATGGCATCTCGGCTTCATGGTTGTTGTAGGTGCTTCGGGTTTTGGAGGGCGATATCGTTTTATAATCCAGCAGCCATGCAAAGGAAGCCTGCAGGAAAATTTTGCAGAGTTGTTGAAGTATATGCTCTGAAATCAACGCTCATATAGCTAAGGGGATGTTGGAGTGAGGTCTATAGCTTTAAGTAATGTGTAATGTAAATATGGGGGTCAAATTTTTGTACCATAAAAAGTGTCTAGATTTGGCTTGGATTAGTTCCACATAAAAGATACTTGTATGATATTCTAATTATAATTAGGCTGAATATATGTTATTATTACTATTATTATTAACTTTCTCTATTTTTTAGTTCATTTTAAATTTTTAAAAAAGATTAAATTTATTTAATTTTGTATTAATAATAATATTTAAATATAAAAATGGAAGTTTAAAATTTTATTAAATAATTTTTTTTTAAGTTAAGGGTAAAATAGATACCAACGAAATTTAGTGGGTAAAGTTGTAATTCAACTTATTTTCTTTTTTAAACAAAAAAGAAAAATAATTTGCGGGGAGAAAGATCTTGGCGCCGATTTTAAGAAGACTGTGTCGGGTCGTAATCGAACGCTTTCTTTTCGGAGTCTCCGGCAACTGATTTTCGTCGAGGAAGAGTCAATACTCCCTCCGTCGCTCTCAATTTCCCGCTGATGCAGTCACTTCTCAAAGCTCGCCGCTCATTTTGCTCACTGAATCATCTTCGTCGCTCATCAACTTGTTCGCATCTCTTACACTCTGTTACTGTAACTTCTCTTCTCCTTTCCCTCCTTCTCTTTGCTTTGTATTGAGCTTCTAGGTTTTCTTATTCTATGTTGTAGTCATTTTGGAAGACGAAAAATCGGAAACTGCCATTGAAAGAAGCTCTACGTTCATCCATCCAACCGCTGTCGTACATCCGAATGCTGTAATTGGCGAGGTCATTCATTTTCTACTGAACTGTCTTTTATCGTGTTGATGTTAATCTGAATCTGTTTAATTGACGACCTGGTTATGTGTTCAAATGTTCATGATTCTGTTAATTTTCAATATCTCAGCGCTTGTGCTTTCTTCAGTCCCTTTGTTATTAACTAAAAACTTTCATTAAACCGTTCATGTGATTATTTTCCTTAATTTCGGTATGTGTTGTATTTGGAATGCACAGGGAGGATTCACTCGCATGGAATATCGATGGATATTCACTACTTTTGAGTTGAGAATCTGATGGTGTTTTTGTACTTACTTCATGTTTATCATGTTATCACTGGCATAATAGTTTGGTTATCTTAATATTTTCAATATATATATCTATATCTATATCTATATATATTTATATTTACTACACATTATCAGGTTAACCATGTCAATAAATATTTAATGCAAAGTTGCATAAACTATTCTTAAAAATATATACATCACAAAATGTGTTTAAAAATGTAAAATGCATAATATTCATTGTAAAAAAATTTGTGCATTATGTTAATTTTAAATTTATTCTGTTATGCAGTACTTGTGGTATATACATTTTTTTTATTTAATATAAATGGTAAATTTGTTGTCATAATACAAAAAACAAACATAACTTTCAAAACATGTCATGAAACAATTTAGTAAATCTTGATGATGATAGGTTAGGCAAAATTTCAACAGAATTTACATTCCAAGGAATAACACATCTATATCAATAGGAATTTTAAGAACTTAGAAGTCAAGTAGTGAATTTGATGATGTGTTTACATTCTTGCTACTGTTTTGTAAATAATTGATTCAATCGATCTTCCTTATGTAACAGGATGGATATATTGGTCCATTCTGTACTGTGGGGGCCTTTGCAAAGCTGGGAAATGGTTGTCAATTACATCCTGGAAGCCACATTTTTGGGTGCACAGAACTAGGGGATCGATGTGTCTTGATGACGTGAGTTAGAGTTTTACCAGACATCTTTTATAGTAATATGCTAAGGGTGAATTACACAACTTATCTTATTGTGTTTATTCTGCAAACATGGTCAGGCAGTGGCGCAATAGTTGGTGAGGACCTTCCTGGTCGTACGGTCATTGGGTGTAATAACAAAATAGGTCACCATGCAGTGGTTGGCATTAGATGCCAAGACATGAAATACAAGGTTGGTATTTCAATCTTACATTTTTCAGAATTATCAGTTGGATAGATAGGTGTAAAATTTCATTTTTGGTTTGAATTATATTCCGTTAGTGCACTGTTCTCTTTTTTATTTTGCCTAACTTGTGCACCATATTACTGTTTCTTATGATAGTAGATTTGCTGAAATGAGATAGAATCAACATATGATAAACAATGCTGCTGACAAGCAAGTTAACTTCCTAGTAATTTTTAGTATATGGCTGTCTAATTAAAATTCTGATGTACTTGTCTCATAGAATGATTGGCAAAATCTTTGTGGAAGCTGAATGCATATAATAATCAATTCTAGAATTTGGTAGACTTGACATTTACCCAATTCTAAGCTGAACTAAATAGAGTGCGGATGGTTCTCTGATAAATGTTCTTTATTTTCTGCATTTCTCAATCATTTGTTCTGTTATTTGTTTTCCATATTCCAGATTGTCATTTATTTTCTTCTAAGCAGTAGGTGGCTTAAATCAATGCTGATAACCAATTTTAGATTTTCTCTTCTCATACATGTCATTATTACCCTGGATAAGATAACGTTCTTCATTTTTCTGTAAATTTGAGATTCTTTTGGACTATTTGCTGATGAATGGGTGTTATTAGATTATTAATGACTTAATTTTAATGTTATCAGTAACACATGCATCCATTCCTGTGGATTATGATCACTATTACGGGCTTAACTTAGATATTGTTATGAGAAGCCATGGTGACTATTGTCCTAAAAGAGGATCTAGTTGCTCTTAATATGAGATTATTTTTCATGACTTAGCCAGGGGATGAATGCTTCCTTGATATTGGAGATAACAATGACATAAGAGAACATTCATCAATCCACCGATCTTCGAAGTCAAGTGATGTGACGGTAAGATCAAATTGCTCTGAAGAGACTTCAAATTTTCTCTGATCATTAGAATCTATATTATGATCCGTAGCTTTTTTTTTTAATCAGGCTATTAGTGACAACAATCTCATAATGGGATCCTGTCATATTGCTCATGATTGCAAGATCGGGAACAACAATATTTTTGCAAATAATACTCTTCTAGCCGGCCATGTTGTAGTGGAGGTTGGATGTCTCAATCTCTTTTAATTCTTATCTTGCACAAAGTAACATCTAGTGTGGTTAACGAAGTACTAAGGGCTCTTGTTGTAGGACTACGTTCACACAGCAGGCGCCACTGCAGTTCATCAATTCTGCCATGTTGGTTCTTTCTCATTTGTTGCTGCGGGTTCGATGGTATTATCATTTTTCATTTTATTACCTTTGCCACTGTACACTAATTATTTTATTAGGAATAATGTGTCGGATACTTCAACATTGCTCAACTTTTTGTAACTTATGATCTTGTCAGAAGAGCTTTGTAGCAACGTGGTTAGCATGCTGATCTCCTAAACACAAACTAATTTGTCCAGTTGTTTACTTGAATGTTGAACATATTTGTTTTTTTTTTGTTTTTTTTTTTTTTTTTTTTTTTTTTTTTTTTTTGTTAAGAACAATCCATAAAAAATGCAGTTCTTTATTTACAAACCCAATTTCATTTAATAATACTACATGCATGAAGGTTTCCCAAGATGTACCTAAATATATGATGGTGGCGGGAGAAAGACCAGAACTTCGTGGTTTGAATCTAGAGGGACTTCGGCGCAATGGATTCACGGTGGAAGAGGTTGCACTTTATTTTTCATTATGATTTTATTCAAATTTACTAGCATCATTTAATGATTATATATGGAAAGGCTTACCATATATTTTTGTCCAAGGATCCAGATCAATGGCTTGAGATCTGCTTACAGGAAGGTATTCATGCCTACTGATACAAAGTTTAAAGGGTTGGAAGAACGTCTCGAAGAAGTGGTATTGCACATCTCTCTCTCCTAAAGACATAACCACAAACTAATGTGAACCTTTCTTTCAGGAGCAGAATGAAAAATTGGCTCACATACCTTCAGTGCATTCCATGATTCAGTCTATTCGTGCCTCGTTTCAACAAAATCGTAGGGGCATATGCAAATTCAGACTATGGAATGGCATTTAAGTAAGATTGTGCTCGCCTCTCTAAAAAAAACCACTTTTCCCTTTCCACGCACACTTGCAAATTATTCTACTCATTGTTCCTGCATATATAGGCAACAATTTGTACTATTTTATCAAATTATCAAGCATCGGTTTCGAAGTTTAACTTTGCAAAAATCAATCAGGATGCTTTAGAGCTTACTTCTGAACCCAAAAAGAAGAAGAAAGAAACTTGCACTTGTGGTTGCGGATGTTAGTTCTCTCTTCTGGCGTTCCAGTCATTTGCACACTTTTTGCTCTCAATCGTTGCTTCACATTTACTGTCGACTCCACGAGATACTGTTAATTAGTGGGTTATTCAAGAGCCTTGTGACATTTGTGTGATCTTTACTTTTACTATTCTGATAGAACTCATTACATTGAATCAAGCGTATAATGGTTTGCCCAACAACAATTTAAGGATTGCTCATGTTTCCCTTGCCCTCTCTTTGGGCCTTTTAAGGATTGCTCATGTTTCCCTTACCCTCTCTTTGGGCCTTTTAAGGATTGCTCATGTTTCCCTTACCCTCTCTTTGGGCCTTTTAAGGATTGCTCATGTTTCCCCTGCCCTCTCTTTGGGCCTCTTTGGACATGTTCGAGAATAATTTTGGAATGACAGAAATCACTTTTGAGAGGTTTACTAAAATGTTTTGGAACATGTCCTTCATCTCTACATTCATTTTTCCATGATCAAAACTTACTCAAAGTTGTAGAGAAAATTGGACATTGAAAGTCAATTGTACAATTTTAGTCATGTTCCTTTTGGGCCAATTTTTTCTATTTCATTCCAATCAGCCCTCAAGAAGAAGAAAGTTTTGGCTACCCTACCAAACAGATTTGACTATTTTGCTTCTACATGATAAACTAACTACTGCTCTATATGCCCTTTAGAAGTTGCACATGAATCTCCTGATGGGAACACAAATCTGCAGTGCTGTGGACAATTTCTTGGTAATAAACACAAAAGAATATGAATGTTCTTCAAAACTGTCTCTTTCTCTTTTTGACGATACATTTTTATCTCTTGAATGTGCAGGTCAGCTCCCTGGAAAATGGAAAGGAAAGGAAAGGAATGGAACTCTTCAGCTTGACCAAGGTTGTAGGAAATCCAAAGCAATCTTTCAAAGGTAACAACCTCTGACTTTGAAAAATAGTTCTAAAAATACACAAAGGGGAAAAGGAAAAACGAAAGTCCTCTCTAGACAGCATCTTTTTCAATTGCATCACAATTATATATAAAAAAATTCTATCCTTTCAACATAAATTAAAGAGAAATGATTAAAAAAAGAACACCCCCTTATGAAGCTGAGAAGACACACAAACTTTATATTATAATGTTATTTTATATATCCCATGATGTTGAAAGTAACAATTCTTTAACCTACCATCATTCAAACAATATGCTTTCCTGCCGGAATTATACTTGGATATAAGAATATAATAAACTTTATTTTATTTTATATAATAAAGAAGAAACTAATAATGCTACTGCCACTTTGTCATTGCTCCATGAATAGTACAGAAATATGACAACAAACATGCATAATGCTTGTACATTGTATATTGTCAGTTCTGAATTTGGATCATGATCAATGATGTAATGTTTTTTTTTTTTTTTTTTTTTCTCGAAATAGTCTTTCAAATTTTCATGAGGATCTCTATTTTCCCTGGTCCGTCCAACACCCCATGATCATATTCTTTGAACTAATATTTGAAATTTTTTCATGATTAAATTTGAGGTGTAATTCTGTACCATTATGCCTTTTTTTCATTTCTCAAATAAATACATATTTTAATAAAATATTTTTATTTTGATGTTAATTAAGATTAAACCTGTTTTTTCAATATTTTATTTTAGTACCACGGTTTTAGTGTTCATTTTGTTCCCTATATCCCTTATTTTCTTAGGCTTTGTTTCATGATTTTAGCATTTTGCTTGATTTTTATTCTTCATTTTGATATTTTCATGATTTTACTCGAGGAAAAGTGATTTCAGGGATCTTTCGTAAATTAAATGGGATGAGAATTTTGAACAGGGAGGAATAAAAACTGTTTTTTCTTTTATGGTTTTTTTGTTTTAAATATAAAGATTATGGTAGACAGCATCAAAATAATTGAATCAAAACCCTAGACCTAACTTAAAAGACATTTCTTTAAACAAAATTTGAAGGCATAGTTTGAGATATAAAATAGGTCACATCAAAGGTGAAACTTCATCTCTTTTATTGACATTATGTCACGTTGCCACAATATAATGACAACGGAACTTTCTTTGATATCATAACAATGAACAAACAGAAAGAAAAAACATAGACGAGATCATAATTGAGCAAAAAGTGTTATAAAGATGAAATGGAAGATGATGGAGGGAATATAATTGAGGTACAAAAGAACGTAAGAAAATGAGTTTAGAAAAGCAAAAGGTTCTCCACCATACGCAAATAGAGATCCTCTGTTGTGAATGTGACCTTTGTGGAAACAATGTCCATTCTTTGCCACTTTTTTCCCACATTCGAACTTCTCCCTTCTCTTCTCTCATTCAACATTTGTTTTCGTAACTCCATTGGTTAGAATATATTCAATCTTTAAATTTTTATTTTGACTTTTATAACTTTAAACATATTTTATTTTGTTCCTAAACTTTATACTAAAATTGAAATGAAGCAATTGAATTGATGATTGAATGATATGTATGTTATATGATCCATAATATATTTTTGTCTTCTTTTATTGTTTATTTGGTAGAAAAGATTCCTATTTATGATAAAAGCCAAATGAATAGATCTTAATTCAAGTGTTCCATGAAAGCTCAACAAAACAAAATTTCAAGATGTTTAATTTGGGAATAATTATTTATTTCCATGTGGAGTTTGAATATAATATATGAAAATAAAATTTAAAATTTGAGATATTATTATTAACATTAGAAAAAGTTAAGTAATCATTTATAGGGATAATAATAAGAGAAAATAATTAAATATAATATAATAAAACAGCCATTGACTTTTGAAAAATAAAACATAAAAAGAAAATTTCAGAAAATTTTCTAATGAAACAATATAGAAATTTCTTTTCAGTTCCACTTTTTATAAAAATAATTTTTTTATTAAAAAAAAAATCCATAATTAAAAGAATGGCATCCAATCCCCTAAAATTTATTTCAATCCCTAATTTTAGTTTTTTTTTAAAAATTATTCATCATCCACTTGGATTAGTGACTATTATTTATAATAGTAATAATTCATAAAAAAAATGAAATCAATTGCTATCATCTTTGAATAATAAGAAAATTACATAGAAAATAAAAAATAAAAAATAAAAAATATATTATAATTGCACTAGAATGGGTGTGGTTCCATTAAATTTCTTAAGAAATTGCTGAATCACTAATCAAATTTAAGTTTCAAAGTTTGGGCATTTCTACTTCATTTCTTCCTATCTTATCATATAATTTAATGTTATGAAAGAGATAATATACACAAACATAATGAATTAATATTAATACTAACTACAAATATATATTGTTTTTTAAGATTATAGACTAACAGTTTTGTACATCTTCCCATTTATTACCTCCATGTTTTCAAGAAATTCTTCTATTTCCTTCCACTCCCGTAGAAACCCAAAAAAAAAAAAAAAAAAAAAAAAAAAAAAAAAAAAAAAAAAAAAAAAAAAAAAAAAAAAAAAAAAAAAAAAAAAAAAAATCAAATACATATGAAATTCTAGAACAAGCTGACGAGGCCTATCGGTTAAGAACGAGAAATAGAATTGAAATAGAAGGTGTTTATTCTCATTAATATTCGATACAACAACTAATTCTAAACTAATTGAATATTGAGAATGAAATAAAATATACTACTATAAACTAATTGAATATTGAGAATGAAATAAAATATACTACTATCAAATCATAAAGGGAATATTACTGATTAAGAGTATCAATATTTCATAACTAATTATTATAATATATTCTCCAAATAATATATCTCAACACAGAGGGTTCTCAACAGCTTTGATGACCCAAAGGTCTGATAGCTTTCTTCAACCAAAAGTGTAGAAGCATTCGGTGTTGGTCAGGATAGAACAGGTCTCTTCGATATGCGACATTTAAGATTCTTTCTTTCTCAAGTGGGTATGAGATATCTAGTATACAATTTGAGATGCGCTTTCCAAACATACTATATTACTTCATCTCTCCGTCCTTAAATTTAGACATTTGAATTAATTTATAGACTAAAATTGAACTACTCTCTAGAAAAAAAATGATATTTTAATATTTTTTTATAAGATTAAACCGTTGGGAAAAAAAATGGAATAAAAATTGTATATAAGGAGCATCCAATAGGTTCTTTTCTTTATATATCCATTTTGTGTAACCCATCATCATATAAACCACACCAATATACACTTGTTTTTGTGCTCTCTTTCTTACTCTCAAATCTCTCTCTCTAGATTTAGTTTGTTTTTTTTTGGGTTGTTGGGATATCATTGTGAAAATTTAGGGGGAGAGATCAGATTTGTGTGGGTAAAAAAATGGGAAGAAAGTGCTCACATTGTGGAAACATAGGTCACAATTCAAGAACTTGTACCAACTTCATGCCTTCAACGCCCAATTTGGTTGGTAGCAATGGTATCATTAGGCTCTTTGGTGTTCATCTTGATGCTTCTTCATCTTCTTCTTCTTATTTTCCCATTAAGAAGAGTTTCAGCACTGATTGCTTACCTTCCTCTCCTTCTCCTTCGTCTTCCTCTTCCTTCTCCTCCTCGACTCGAGTTCATCTCGATCATAATTCTCTCGAAGAAACTCGATCTTCCAATGGCTATCTCTCCGACGGCCTTCTCACAAGAGAGCAAGAGAGGAAAAAAGGTTTAATTTTTCCTTTCCTTTCATGATCAAGTTTTGATTTTTAATGATGGGTTTGATCTAAATTCATCATATTCTTGATTTTGATCCAAAACCCATTGTTTTTACCCTAAAAAAGTTGTTTTTTTGATGAATTTTTTTGTAGGGGTTCCATGGACAGAAGAGGAGCATAGAATATTTCTAATTGGACTTGAAAAGCTTGGAAGAGGAGATTGGAGAGGGATTTCAAGAAACTATGTGACCTCAAGAACACCAACCCAAGTAGCAAGCCATGCTCAAAAATATTTTCTTAGACAGTCCACTGCCAACAAGAAGAACAGGCGCTCAAGCCTCTTTGACACGGTTGCTACCTTTTCCCCCTAAATGTTCTTATGGGTTTTGGCTTTGATTTGTAATTTAGGTGTAATTTTGTGTTATTGAACAAAAAAAAAACACATAGGTTGGGGCAGCAAATGATTCAACAACAACAAATTCTAAGAACATTGAGCTGAGTTTGAAGAATCCTACAAGAAGTTCTTGCATGGAGGTGATGAAGAACAATGAAGAACAGAAATTATTGGGAGCTTCTTCTTCTTCTTCTCCTTCTTCGGTTTGGGTTTATGATGATCTTGAGCTGACTTTGGGAGCTCCAAGGGCTCCAAATTTGGAATTGGAACATCCCAAAAAGGCACCACCACCTGGTTCTCTACTCGTTGGCCCAATTAGTGTTACCTAATCATTATTATTATTATTATTAGTTAAAACTTCCCCAAATCATCATCAAATTCAATATATTTCCCCCTTCATCTTTTTGCTTTGGAAGAAATAAACAAGACATGTTATTGATGATGATTATAGTTTTTAATTTGATTGACTCTATTAGTTAATTAATTATGTTATCTTAAATGAATGTTTGTTTAATATTCTTCTTCCTTCTTGTGATGAACAAACAGATTTGTTTTGAAAAAGAAGAAAATAAGTTATGGAATAATGATTTTGGGTTTTCATTTCTTAGAAAAATAGAAATCTTGGCTGCTCAGAAGATGGAAGAAACAGCCAGACCTGTCTAACCACTTCATAGTTGGAATGCTTTTGTTTGATTTTACGTTTTCTAAAACATTTCTCTAAAACGTGATTTGAGGTTTGAGTATATGTTGATATTGTCCACAAAGTGCAAATTTTACACGAATGACTTATTCGCTGAGTTAGAACAAGTGTTGCACAATTGTTGTCACCCTGCCGCAATGGTGTGATTGTGACACCGACTAATCCCAACTAAAAAGACCTAAAAGGAAGTCAAAAAGGTTTAAATTGATGATGGATCATATTAATACTTGAGAAGTTATACTCAAGCTCTCATTGATGCTTGAAAAGTTAGATCGTTGGATTAAGATAAGTTCGAACATTTAATAACACAAGACGATTCATAACCCTTCAATATTATTTCAACATTCTTTAACTTTGATCATAACTGTGACAAGAAGTTTGGAGTGTTGAGGCATTACTGCCTCTCTCCTTAATTACCAATGAATTTTGGCCCACAAATTTTGAAGCACTATGCCTCTAATTGATTTATTTTTCAATAAATTTCTCTTTTAATTCTGCAGAATCAACAGCCACATTATTTCCTTCCGTCTCTCTTCAGATAATTACCCTAAGAAAATTCCAACCAAATTTAAAAGATTCAAAGTCGGTGGTTATACTTAAAACTTATTTAGGACAAGATTAGGATGTCTACACGACCCTCCCTCCAAAGACAAGAAAGTATT